AGAAATGTCCTATTTCTTAGGGTTGCAAGTTAAACAATCTAAGGAGGGGATATTTCCTCATCAGACCAAATATGCCAAGAATCTGGTAAGAAAATTTGGCCTTGAAAATTCTAAGTACCCAGCAACTCCTATGGGGAGTCACTCTAAGCTTTCTAAGGATGATGCTGGAACTTCTGTTGATTCTACGCTTTATAGAAGCATGATCGGTAGTTTGCTTTACTTAACTGCCAGTAGACCTGATCTATGTTTTAGTGTAGGGATGTGCGCTCGGTACCAGGCCAATCCTAAGGAATCTCACTTGAAGGCAGTGAAGCACATCATCAAATATGTGCATGGTACATCAGATTTGGGTATTTGGTACTCACGAGACACGTCTTCTAATCTTGCAGGTTATTGTGATGCAGATTGGGCTGGGAACGTCGATGATCGACGCAGTACCTCTGGTGGTTGCTTCTACATTGGCAATAATCTCATCTCCTGGCTTAGTAAGAAGCAAAACTGCGTAGCACTCTCGACAGCTGAAGCTGAATACATATCTGCTGGTAGTTGCTGTTCACAACTCATGTGGATGAAGCAGATGGTGATTGAGTTTGGACTAGAGGTAAGAACCGTGAACCTCTTTTGTGACAATACTAGTGCCATTATTATCTCTAAGAATCCGGTTCAGCACTCTAGGACTAAACACATCGATATACGCTATCACTTTATTAGAGACTTAGTTGAGAATGATGTGATTGTGCTTGAGCATATTTCTACACAAAACCAGTTGGCTGACATCTTCACTAAGGCTCTGGATTTTCAAAGATTCATTTCTCTAAGGAAATCCTTAGGGATCTGTTCATTCTGAGTGCTTGGGTGTCTTTGCATTATATTATATTGTATTGTATATTAATAATAAATATCTATTGCATTGCGTGTAAGCATATAGGGTATATTGCATTAGGCATATCGTGCATCTTGCATTCTCTTCACCACTAGATTCTTGATTGAAGTTCCAACTCTTCTGAAAACTTGAGAAGTGTTGATGGTTTGAGTCTGATTGCGTGTTCTTATGGTACCGAGGAACATACTTATTTTCTGTATTTTCTTTTTCTTTGTCACAAAGAGCTGCCTTCTCATAAATGATCTAGAGCGATAGCTAGCACATGGTTCGTTTCTCCAATGTGGGATCGACTGTGAAAAGAGCGTCTGGGACAGAAAATGTTGAGAAAGGGCGTAAGCTAGTGACACGCATTGCATATTACTATGTGATGTTCTTACTTGGAGTGATAAGGTGGCCATCCTCATAAAAAACGTAGTGCTGATTTATAAAAAAAAAAATAAATAAATAAATAAATAAAAATAAATAAACGTAGGATCCTTGCTTAAAATCGTGGTGCAAAGTAGTGGGGTTGACTTTCACTATTGCAGTGATTGTTACTAAGTGAAACGCACTATGAATAATAAGGCATGTGTTCTTGCATATATGAAGTTGTGGTTCGCACTACCTTGTGTATATACATATATCCGCTTATCGTGTGTTCCTTGGAAAATCTGAATATCAAAGTTGGTCTCGGGCTATTTTCATCGATTTTGTCTAAGTTGAGAAGGAAAAGATTTTTAGAATCTGGTGAACTTTGTGTGCGATTTTATTACCTTATTTTTGTTTCTCATTTTTTAGGCATACTTGCATATGATTTCCTTTTTGAATATAATCTATTTGAGTCTAAAATTTTGTGAAGTATGTGTGCTCAAGTATGAAATCTGATTTCTTTCCTAAAAATCGAAATAATGTGAGAAGTTATTTATGTGAGAGGTTGTATTGTGTTTGAATTTGGATTTGGAGGGATCAGTTTCTTGCCATAAACCGCCCCAAGTTGCAACGTCTCTTTCTCTCTCCTCACCTTGAATGTCGGAAAACCACCTTTTGCAGTTATCTATGTCAGAACTCTTTATATCTCTCACGCTTCTCAAGTTCAATCATATCTTTTTTGTCTGAACTTATCTTCATCTCTCATTCTCTTTTTCAAACCTTCTGAAACCCTACCTCTCCCATACTCAATCGTCGTTCCTTCTCCATGGCTGGTAGCAAGGACAAGTCAAAGAAACGTCTTAAGAAGCACAAGGAGAAACGGCTGAAGCGGCGTCGCCTATCCCTCTCTACAAGTTCTGCTCGTGAACCATCTCCTCCGCCGGCTAAATCCCCATCGCCTGAGTCGCCTCCTCCTGAGAAGTCGGTTTCTATCTCTGCAACTTCGTCTGGTTCTCCGTCCAACTCAGAGACTGCCGATAAAAATCTTGAGATCTCTCCTCTCGCCACCAATGTACCTGGTCTGTCAGGGCTTGTTGAGACTCCAGCGGCTCCAACTCAGGGGGAGTCGTCTGTTGTTCCAACTTCGGCGAGCAAATCTGCTACCAAGACGACGTCAAAGACCGCAACCAAAGCAGCCGAAGAAGACAAGGAAGACACAACTGCAACTCTCGTTGATGTTCATTCTGATCAGCCCTCACCACCATCCAAGATGCCTGTTCGTCGCTCAACTCGTCGGCGGGGCAAAGAATCCATTGATGCACCGCCTGTTCCTCCAGAACCTGAGGACGATGCTTATGATCTTGAGAACACCTTCACTAATCGGTTCTATACTGAGGCGGCCCATGAGCGGTTTGTTTCTTTTGGTTCCTATGGTTTCTGGTCCGAACGTGCTGTGGAAGATGGTAAGTTTGCTGATCTTGGAATTCTTCGTTTGATTGAGTCTGTGGGTTTGTCTAAAACTGTGTCTGACCTTCAACCCTTCTGTGGTCAAGTTGTCAAAGAATTTTATGCCAATCTCACCCCTGCTGTGTTTGATCCTAATAGTCCCCGTTTTCACAAGCTTTTTCTTCGCAATCGTGTGCTTGATGTGTCTCCCAGTCTGTTTAACACTCATCTTGGCCTACCTTCTGATCTTGATACCTCCTCTTTTCCTGATGTTGATCTGGATACCATGACCAAAGTTCTTACTTCTGGTCAATTGGATACTTGGCCTGGTTCTAATCTGCCTGTTAGTTCACTTTGTTTGGTCGCCAATCTGTTGCATAAGATTGATGCTGGGAATTGGACTCCAACTTCCAATAAAACTCTTCTCACTGAGTCCCAGAGTA